AAATTAGTAGAGAGCTTTCGGACAATTATTATTAGAGCCATTGTCCAATTGGTCATTTAATGCAAAGTGGTGAGTTAAGGAAAAAATTTCCTGAAAATAATCCGATCAATGCAACTTGCTTCGTCTAAAACTTCAACAGCAACCTAGTTCTTGAAGTTTTAGTGTTCTTAAAATGGAAATCTCATTCTCGAATTAATAAATTTTTAATTAACCTAATTCAAAAAACAAATTTTAAATCTCTTATGAAGTAAAAAAAAATTAAAATATTTTATAGAAATAACTTCAAAAGCAAAATAAAAACTATAAAAAAGACAAAAAATAAAATTAATAATTAAAATGTACAATCGATTAATCTGGAACACTTATAAAATAATTAAAAAACTATCAGTGAACAAAAAAAAAAAAAAATTACACACTTTATACTTATGCGTATAGAATTAATTATAATATATTAATTATTCAATTAAACAGGAAAAATTTTCGAAATAAATATACATAAATGGGTTTTATTTTCGTTTTTTTTTTCCCTTTTTTTTAAAAAAATAAATGTTTGTTTGTTTTAGAAATACAAAGATTAGAAATATTTTATTGATGGATATAATTAATTTAAAAAGAGAAAATGAAAGGATAGAAGCTGTATTATTACAATGAATTTCTTACTGAGAAAAATTTATAAATGAAGTTCCATTCCTCTCTTTTCTTTAAACTGATTTTTAGAAAAGATTAGAAAAAGTGATTTCTTCCACTTTTGTTTTTTCTTTTTTATAAAGTGGGTCTGTGGTAGCCCACTTCTATCATCTCATCCAAACAAACTTCATCTATCCTTCTCAAAATTTTCAAATCCAAACTCATCACTACTACTACAATAATAACTACTGCTACTCAAATATCACAATTACTATTACAATTACAACTACAGTAAAAATATAAGCTAATATTATTGTTGCAATAAGAATAAAAACAACAACAACAACAGTTACCACTACAATAACCATTACTACGTTAATCTGTAAACAATAAAGTAAAATTCAGAATTGAAAAAATTCTCGGACTTCAATTTAGTAAAATATTAAATTTTGTTGGGCTAAATATATAAATTTTACAACAATTGTTGTTCAATGATTGAACATTCTTTTTTACTTTCTTTTTCTGTTTTTTTTTTTTTGTTAATATCAAACGAAACTTTTGTTATGTTTCGAGCAATTTATTTAACAATTTCATTTACAAAAGATAGTTTGGTTGTGAGAAACATGATGACACTTTAAAAATTGTCATTTCGATGAACAAAAGGATAGCAAAATCAACAAAAAGAAAGAGGAAAAATTGATGGAAAAGAATTTTGCTATTCTAAAATTTTCCAATCAAAATTAAACTCTCAATTACCTTCCTAAAATGCAATCCAAAAAGTAATATCATTATCTTAAGCTCTATTATTTATGGTACCAATATTCAATAAGATTTATTTCAAATTTAAAATGAAAAATTTGTAGCAAGAAAAAAAGAAAAAAAAATGAGTTGTAGAAGTCAAAATTCAATTTTTTGAATCGACGTGAAATAAAAAGTAAAAGTACAAATTCGAAAATGCTATAAATGTCAAATTATTTCATTTAATCACACTAATTGTTAACGTATTCAGTGTGATTATTCAATGAAAAGAACTTATAATTATGACAAAAAAAGTTTTTTTATGCATCTATGAAATAACATAAAAATTTGATGGAAATCATTTAAGGAAGAATAAAATAACTGAAATATAAATTAAATAAAATCTCATAATAAATTAAATGAAATGTATTAACTGATACAAAATTATGGGATACTTTCCTGTTCAGTTGATTTCTTGAAATTTGTTCCGAAACGAATGGAAAATTAAGATTTCTCTAAAAAGATGTCCTCGAAGACAGGAAATGAATTAAAGAAAGAGAATTTATAGCTTCTTTCAAAACATTAATATATGATAATATGAAAAAGAAATGGAATTGAACCTTCTTTAAATGAAAAAAATAAAGAATAAAACATCACATCGCACAAAGTATAAATTAATTTTAATAATATAAAATTCATTCAAAAAATTCTATATTCCGAATTTTTCTTACATTATTCAAATAAGTTTCTTTATTTTAGCTTTATTTTTTTTCTTTAAAGTTTTATTTTTTTTTTCTTTAAAAGTTTTATTTTTTTTTTAATTTTTTTCTTTAAATAACACTTTTACTAGTTTATTATGTTAATATAAATTCCATTTGTTAAGTCAAATCTTTTCTTATTGTTAATTTGATGAGGAAAAGATAATGATGAAATTCAAAAATAGTTAAAAAGTGCAATGGTAAAGTATGTTGTATCGAAATTTCATTTTAATTTTATTTTGCTTTGTTAGCATTTCTCTGAGAGAGAGAGAGGGAGAAATTAGCAGAGAGAGAGAGAGAGAGAGAGAAAGAGAGATAAAAAAACTCAATTATAATCGTAATGGATACAATATTACAAAAATTACTCAATACATTTCATTTTTTGCCTAGAAGAAATAATATCCTTTACCTACCCGCGTTACTAACTAAAAGAATGGGTAAAATGCTGAGTTAATTCTTTTCACATAATCTATAATGTATTTAAGGCTATTAAATTGTTCAGAATATGTGACAACTAAATGAATATTGTAAGGAACGTATTGGACAGAAAGGTCAATTTGAAAAACGGTTAGAAGGACAAAAACGCAGTTGGATTTTATCCATTTTTATTTTTGCAATTTTATGCATTTTATAATATTTTTTAGTTTTTCTGATACATTGAAAAAAGTTGAAAGGTCAAAATTATTCCAGAAAGCATTAGCATTTTTTTTTTTTGCTCATAAAATTTAAACCTTTTACCTTGCTATTCTTTCTCTTTCTCTTGCCTAAAAAGTGGAAAAGAAAGGGAAAAGGGAGAAAGAGAGAAGAAGGAAAAAATTAAGTTCAAGAAAGAATAACAAAATCAAATGAATGACAAAAACAAATTTGATTATTTCAGTGTAATTATCATTTCTTTTATTACTTCTTAACAACTAAGTAAAATTTCATTTCTTTCTTTAAAAAAAAAAAGAAATATGACTGTTGATAAATGATGGAAATGAAGAAATATAATTGTTACTTCTAAAAGCAACGAAGTAATGATTTATTTAGCTATTTTACTTATAAACAAATGATTACACGTACGTGGTAAAGTTGCAAAGTAAGAACTGAATAATTAAAAAGATAGAGAGATGGAACAAGTTATACAGATATTAAATAATAATAATAATAAAAAAAATTGTGTTCAAAAGTTTAAGTGATAACTGTGATGAATGATTAATCGATTATCACACAAAAAGATATCATTATGATAATAATATGAAATTTCTGAACAATAAATATGTCAAATTGATCAATTATTATGTGTAAACAATCTTAATGGAATGATTAAATGATTGGATAAAAGGAAGAAAAGAACAAAAATGAATTAATTTTGATAAATTTGGAGATAATAATCATTTCTAGCAATAAGACATCCATTTTATTTTTGAAATCATGAATTAATTTGCATAAAGAAATGAGCAAAATTGATGAATTAGAATGATGCAAAAAATTTCCAAGCAGTAAGTTAATATGCTATTACAATTGTTTACTGTTTCAATTTCATTCTCGACCAATGGTAGAATTATTCTTAATCCTTATTTCTTCTCTCGAGAATAACAGCAAATGAAGAGGTTGAAGTTTCTGATATGGTGTTGTGTGCTCTAAGGATCAGATAATCTTTTTCTTCTTCAAAGATAAGCCAAACTAAGTTACTATCAAAAGTTGACGCAACACGTGGAATCATAAAATTTCACATTTTATTTCCGCTTTAGCTATTTAATTGAATTTCAAATTAAGCATTTTTTGAAACAAATAACAGTTATTTCAACAAAAGCAAATGTGCTGCAAGTGAACATTTTGAGTAATTTCAGAAATAATTGACCTTAGCATTATTATATGGTACCAAATGATTTAATATTTTTGTTATTTATGAGAAATTAAATGGGAAATGTGTTTTTTTTTCTTTTAACTTTGTACTTACAACAAAACAAATTTTGCTTTTTTTTTTTCTTTCAGCGATAGTTTTAGTTGAAAATAAACAATGGTTAAAGTATTTCAAAAATTATTCCAATGCAATAGGTTAGGAAAATGAAGAAAGATGAGAAGTATAAGGAGTTAGAAATTGAACTAGAAATTAAATACATGGAAAAAATATATAAATCACTTTTTGCTCTTCTCGCATCAAATTGAAGAAATGATTATTACAAATGAACAAAAATATTTTGATCGCTATGGAAAAAATGACATAAAATTATACCAGAAAAATAAATTAATAGCTACTAATTATCTGCTAAAATTCAATTTTCTAAATGGAAAAAAAAAACTATTAATTGGACCAAAAAGTTCAATTGAAAGAGCAAATTCTCAATGAATACATGTGTAAATTTTAAATAAAATTTTAATTGTAAAATCTAAACTTTTGAATGAAACTATAAATATTTTCAATGTTCTTTGCATACATTGAAGCAATAAATTGATAAATATACAAGCAATATAGAATAATATATCAAATCATTTATAACACATACCGTTTAGAAAATAATCGAAATAATCCAGAAAGAATAGAAAATCTGTGAATATAACAACAAATATATAAAGTATATATATGATAAGGTTACAATAAAGCATGCATAATATATGTATTATTGTGCGTTGCATGCACTATTTGAAGTACGAAGTTATACAAACAAATACAGATCCAGATAGATTAAATGCTTAGTTCAATTATACAATGTATGCTTATAATTTCTCAGGAAAATATTGATTGGAATAGATTTTATTTCAAATATAGATGAACATTTTCAAGAGACGGATATTTATTATAAGTTAATATGATTGTGCTATTGTGTTAAACCCTATCATCTATGATTGAAATCTTGACAATTGAACATGCAAAAAGCCTTTCATTCAATAAATTCATGTATTTACACCATGATCATTAGTAAATTCATTTGAATTTTCAAATGAATTATATGGTGGTTCTTGTTGCATAACACCAAAGCAATTACAAAATGGTCCGATTAGTTGACGAAACAAATCACAGCAATCTATAATAAATAAAAAGTAGTTCAAAGTTGGTATTATCCTCATAACAACAGCTTTTGACTTTCATAAAGACATGAAAAATTGAAAAATCTTAAAAAAAAAGAAAGAAAACCATATACTCTAACCAAAATATAAATTAGCCAGAGAACCATCTTATTTCAAATTTGTTTCAAAACTTTTTTAGATACATGTTGCTATATTTCAACAATACTTGAATGGAATCTTCAAAAATATTAGGAATTTATTCTAAACTAGAAACATAATTTACATTAATTTCTTGAATACACCTGCATAAATCTGTTTAGAAAGAATAGCAGGAAAAAAATTTTTTTTACCTAATTTGAGTAAGTTTCCTGAAGAATACTCAAGCCGTCTTTCCTCAGCATCCGTTAAATTACATGAATCTCCTGCACATAAAAGTTGTAACAGTGACTTTTCTTCACTTTCCTGACCTCTATAGCGATCCTGTAATCTTTGAAAATATCAAAAATCAACATGGTAATATTAACTTAAGAAATTTTTTTCAACACTACAATATTAGAAATTATTGCTGAGAAAATCTTCAATTCAGTGATACATAGTAACAGTAATAAATAGGAAGAGTAGTTAATGGTTACTTACATAATATCAAGCAACGATAAGGCGAAAATTTTATTATGCTATTTTTTTAATTTGGGTATTCAAAGTATTCATGCATTTGCCATTTTTCTTTTCAAAGTAATTACTTGAGTTGTCTATTTTTAATTCAATTATCAAGAAACTCTCTTCTAGATTTGAAATAATTTTCTTTCAAAACTATATTCTTATTTTTAACGCATTATTAGTCAAGTAGCATAATCAAAAACGTTAAATAAGGAGAAAAAATGATAAATATTGAGAAAAGATTGTTTTTAAATTTGGTAAATGTTTAGGAAACATACCCTGATGACTTCATAAGCATCCATGATAATAGCAATAAATAGTGATAAAACTACATAAATGAATAAAGATACAAATACATAAATGTAAGCTGTGCCAACTACATTAATAATTGTATTAGAATCGTTGATAGTGAAAAATGTAGCGAACATATCATCACCATTTATTAGTGAAAATAATGCTTCTGATGATTTCCCTAATGTGCGAAACTGAAATTATCTTAAATTTAACAGAAAATTTCGAATCAACCGGATAAAGAATAACAATTTAGTGCAGAGTAAAAAATTAGGACGAAAAATATTTCCTACAACTTCAATTATACCGTAAAATACGTAAAATAAGATATTAATTCATTAAATAGTTTAAGGTAATCACTAACGGCACGTCAGTAAGTAAAACAGGATGGCATTTATTATGATGTCAGTAATAATTCTTATGTTGCCGAACTCAATCATATCAATTTAGGATGATCGATTAGATAATATCTCATTTAAAAAAACCTTTAAACTATACGGTCCAATTATAACCCATCCGGCAATAAGAAAACCAGCGTAAAGAACAGCTGCACATGACAAAAAGCGAAGAATATTTGGTAACGATTTCTTCACTGTTAAAATTAATATCTAAAACGAAAATGTTACTACTAAAAAAAAAAAAGAAAAAATACCCAAAAGATAAACTTCACAGTTAAAAGTATTTTATTACTACATAAAGAATTTTTTATGAAAATAAACCAACATTATATTTTGAAAAGAAACAGAAGTAACGTAGTACACCAACGTACACTAAAAGGGCACCAGTGCCCAGTAATACACCAGATGTGGTAAACAAATCATTATCAAAATCCTGAAATGTTTATGAAAATTTATATCATTAAAAAAAAAAAAAAATATTTTAGGCTGAAATTTGAAGTCACAAAACCGTTGAGGATTTAACAATTTTATGAAGTCAACTTCCACATAACAGGATTTTTCCTCTACCCAAATTTTCTATGGCTAGAATTTAAGCCTAAGATTAAAAGTATATTCATAGTAGTAGCTCAATATGCTTTAAAAGTTTGTCAGCCTACATTTTGATAAAATTTCTGATAGATTTTCAGAACAGGAAATACAATGGTAAAAAGACTTACTCTGAATTCAATTGTGATTTTGCAAAGAGTGCCACAGATAATACATATATCGTTTGCAACAATCATCACATACCAAAAATTTAGGAATTCCAACTGATCACTTAGCGATAACTCACGTCGCAACACATTCCGAACAAATTTTGCCGTTGCCTAAATTACAACAAATTAGTTTGTCATAAGAAATTCGTTACTTTCAGTAAATGAAATAAATTGCGAACAGTTATAGAATTGCAAATCTCGAATAAAAAAGTGAATCAGAGAGTATAACACAAGAAGATCAATAAATATAAGGAATGATATGACCGTACAGATAGATGATAATCAAAGCTAATGGCCTGATATTAACAGTGAGATTTTAAACGCAAAAAAAAAAATTTTAAACTCACCAATTTCAGGAGATGAGCTCGAAGAAGCGCACGACAACATAGTACTAACGATGCGATACACATCAACAAAACCAAAACATCAATAATAAATATAATAATACTTACTGTTAATGTACCATCTCCTGATATGATAAGTGGTACAGATACATATCATTTACAAACAGATATATAACATAGAAAGTTGATCTCTTATCACTAATGCAAGTAAGTTGACATTTCCAGCTTTTTTTTCTTTCTTTTTAATACTTATAACACCATATTTCTTGTTTTCAAAGATGCAAGCTTGTATTTTCTAGGAAATTAAACATAATCAACAAGAAGGTATAGATACATTTGATAAACATTCCTATTAAACGGTTCATAGCTCGTCTTTCTCTTTTTCTAAAAGACGGAAAAACAAAAAAAAAAAAAAAAAAAGATGAGAAAAAGAAACTTAGTATTCTATGAAGAAAAAGGATGAACTAAAAAATCATTCAGATTATTTGATAACTGATACATACCATGTACAACTCGACCATTGCACAGAGTAACGTAACTAATAACTGTTGATAGAGAGATGTATACTTGACCAGTATGTCGTGAGTTGTCGAAAATAATTGAGACCTAAGTAGTCAGTATTAGTATGTATGAGTGAGTGACGATTTCGAGGAAAAAGACTAAAAAAGAAAAAATTATCATATCACTGACTACTGGATTTAAGTGATGTGCACGCACTCAATTTATCAACAGTAGCTATTCTAACTACTGTTAATGTCTACTACATGTGATTTTTTTTTCTAGCAGATTAAATATTATATTTGAAATGATAATTTGATGCCACAAAAATCTGACGAACAGTTATTAATTATAGTAGAAAAGGTGATAAATTTCACGAAGAATTGATAAAAATTTACTTGAATTAAAAAACATTCTGGTCGCTCATCAGTTGAAATTGTACTAAAATGAATCGTTCGTAAGTTGAAGCTCAATACACCTTTTGAAATGATCAAAGCATCTTCCGGTTTAAATGTAATCTTGCGTTCTTCAAGGAATTTTCTCATTGAACTTGAATTTCGACGGATTTCTTCCACTTCATTTTTGTTAAATTTCAATAATACACAATCTATAAATGTGTCTCGACTGGAAAAATTACAATGATGAAAAGTTCAACAGCAAATTCACCTATTTTTACTTTTGAGTGGTAATCTTTCCAATCAATATTCTGTTTTCACTTTCATTTTGGTGCGATAAAGTGTATAGTCATCTGGACATCAAAAAGAAATCTGCCAATATTTCAAATAAAAAGGTACTGAAATCAGTTTTCAGCCAAGAGTTTTAAATTATTTTGTAATTTCATAAGATATAATTAAAAGTAATGCTTCCATATAAAGGATATATAAATGTATAACGGACAAATTAGCTTTTCGGAATCTCCAAAAAATATTCCAAAATGAAAATTAGTCTAAAATTTGAAATATTATATAAATAAATAAATAAATATTAATATCAATCAAAACAATTCCTCACCATTAATTTCTGAAATATCAAATTCATAAGTGTTGTTAAAAACCGTCACATTAGCAATTTTTTTTAAGCAAAATTGCATCGGTGGTATATCATCAATGGAAATATTGTCAACAAATTTCGACTGCACCGAAGTGTAGATATCTTGACTTCTCAACGTATCATACGAAAAACTGGCGAATGAGTCTTCCTTGATTGAATAATACTAGAACAGATATATACATCAGCATTGACAAGACTTTTAAATTTCAATTCACATTTTAAATCATCTTTTAAAATTTAACACTAAAATTCCATAAACTGATTATTCATACTTATTAGTTTTCAAAAAACTTTCGCATCTTTGTGAATTAGAAATGATTCGTAGTCACACACACACATACACAAAAAAAAAGAGGAGCTTACAGCGACAACCATGAATGCAAACTGATCAACAATATCAGTACCGGTGTAAACGGAATACCGACCAGATGACGGTGGATAAATGAGTGCATCACGCTCATTATTCCAATTTTTTAAAAATTTATGTCGGATTACCGCATGTGTTTCATCCATAAAATCAACATGTAACATACGTAATTCGGCAAAAAGCATTAGCTGGAAAAAAGACGTAATGATGAATTTACCAAGTCAATCAGAAGTAATTGATGATAATTAATTAATTAGTATAAGTAGTGATTTATAGTTTCGTATCCACACGATGCACTCAATTTACTGAAGAGCTAGTTAAAATTTAATATTTTTGCTGAAAATTATAAAGTTTCCTGAGTGGCATTACCTCTTCCTTTATTGTAAACTATGTAAAATTCAAAGTATCTTTTTTTCCAATAAATTTAAAAAAAATTTTTAATTTATCCTACTAGTAATCAAAAAAATAAAGGAAGTGTGAATCAATTAATCCTTATATATAGGAAAATCAACATGAAAAGAATATTTATGAAAGCAGAATGAAACAGATTTTCGAAGAGAAATATCTTATTAGTATTAAAAAAAAAAACAAAATTAATCCTAGCACTGTCAAATACTCATCAAATCAGTTTGAAAGAATCATAGCTCTTACTTGTACAGAAATAAAAACGATTTTGAAAATCTGTAAGACTAATTTAAAAGGAAACTGATGGCGCATTTTCCATTTTGTTATTGGATCCATGAAAAAAAATTGCAAATGTCGACGTAGACGTTCGCCATCTTTACGATTTGATGCTGATAAAGTTTCCAGGATATCTTGTTGCATCCTGTAAAAACAATTTTGCCTGTCTTATTCGCAAATTTTGCCCGAAATTTTGATGCCACTTGAAAATAAATTTGTAACTTAAACAGTTCATTTGTTATCTCCTATTAATGAAGCTAGAATAATAATCATAAAACATAGTAAGAAAAAGTAATTTCTCACTGACTAAAAAAGTGTTATATATTGACTTATATTAAGCAGAAAGGATATTAGTTGATAATTTGACTAAGTAATCAATATTTAAATAGTGCCAAATATTGATATCAAAAAAGATGCTTTCAATTAAAGTATGACTTCTACTATTATCCTTAAATATAGTTACATTTTTATCTCACAAAAAAATATTTAAGATTAACAAAAACTGAACCTAAATTAAACTTATTTCTGCATTTCTTCAAATTCTTTCCTTTTCCTACCTTTTAATATCTCTAATTACCATCAATTAAAATTTTCTTTTTTCATTATACAAAAAATAACCGATCAAATTCAGCCGATGATGGTTGCATATCGTTGAAATTGTCACCAGTTATCTGTCGTCTTTCATGCATCTGCAAAATATCGAATGACACAAAAGACATTATTAAGGGACAAACAATCGAGTAACTGAGAAGAGAACACGAAAAAGAAAAATGTAATTACACCATTCGGAGAATTGACCAGATGAGCAATTATATCCAAATTAAACAATTTATTTTCAGATTCTAAAAGTCTGATTGTTAAATTCAAGATATTAAAATGATTAGTAAAATTTAAACTCTTTTTTAGAATGACTAATCCTAAATTTCGAGAAATAATTACAGGATTAAGGGGATAAAATAATTGAAAGATGTATGGGGAAATGAAAGTCATTTAAAAATAATAAAATTTCTAAATACGAATTTCCAAGCGAAAAAAAAAAAAATTTTATCCAAACCATTTGATCGTTTTTCAATAATTCAATCAAATTAGATGAAGAAAAGAGTAAATAGTACAATTACTTAAAAATAAATAACTAAATCATCTTTTTTAAATATAGTATATTAGATGATGCGAAAATAATTATTTTCTTGCATTGTTCAATTTTTGTTCTTTCATATTGAAAAATATGATTGACCATATTAAATATCATTTTTATGCTCAATTCTTGTTGTTTTTTCTCTTCATTAAATAACTTATATTAGTTATTATTTCACAGACTAATGAAGTGTCAAAATGAGAAAGCAAATTTTTGATTTCATTTCAGAATGAGTTATGTCATAGAATAGTAAAGATAAATTGGTAATATCAACAATATGTTTAACCCAGGAAATGACAACAAATTCCATTACTACAAGAATAAACAAAGCAATTTCTTACTGAAATATCTCACTTAGTTCAACTAATACAGATATATTAAAGAATAATTATAATAAATTCAAATTTACTCTCCAAAATGCAATTATTTTTGCAGAATAGCATCTTGACCTTTAGTATAATTTAACATCACTTATCATACCATCATGACATTTCTACTCCATCACTAAGTGGTAGTTAATGTTGAATGATTCTGCAGAAAAAAAAAAAAAGGAAAAGTTGAAATTTGAAAAATCAAAATTTATCTTACAAATGTAAATCAATTCTTAATGTATTTTTGTTAATTTTTACTTCGCGTTAGTACAATTATCAAGTTCTAAGTCTACATAATTTATTTCTAGCATTACAAGTAACTGATGTAATTGTAATTCATGCCATTCGTTTTGCTAATGATTACGATAACAGTAACAATAATAACAACAACAATAACAATAACAAGACCATCTCACTTGATCAATTTCATAGAAAGAAAATTATCAAAATAAGTTGTAATTCTGTTCGATAGAAATGAATGGATGACCAGAAACAGTCTACGTTATCACTACTACTAATATCATTACAACATATCTTTCTTATCATCATTTTGTCGTATTGTTATCAATAAAATTTACCTACTCCCATATAAACTATCATTTCATTCTAATTTTTGTTACCGCACATTCACTGATTGAACAATTCTTTTGTTTTCATTTTTTTCTTGCCTCTCTACTTTTTCTCAAATATAGCTTCTTGTGAATGCAACAACAGAAAAGCATTCAGTATTTAACTTTTTTTTTTTTGGATTAATTCTTACTTTTTATTTTTTTATACTTTTAAATTAGTTCTTGTAAATTACAAAGTAGTGAAATGTGAGCAAAAAATTTAATGTATTTTGATGAAATATGAAACTTTCATATAATTAAGCTAAAGACTTACTAAACTTTCCAATTTTGAAAATTTTCGATATTTCTTTTTTTTGCTGTTAATAATATATAATAGCTATTAGCTGCTATCTTAAATAAAATTATTCGATATTTTAAGTATACTATGAATATATACATATAATAACTTAAATAAAGGGTCATAATAGAGTTGATGGAATTAATCGTAAAAGCAATTAATTTCTAGCAATAGAATTTTTAATTCGCTGATGTTCCTACTTTGTTCAATATATTGTTCATTTAAGAAATTTTAGAAAGAATCAGAATAAATCGAAAGTATTCAAATTATCATAAGCTAATAAGCTAGTAACTTTCACAAAATTATCTCAACTATATCGTTAATTTTCAAATATTCCATACCTTCACATATAAAAATATTACAAAATAATATAGCATCGATCTTCTGGACCGGTCACTTACGCTATTTTATGAGATTCAACTTCTTCCCCAACTTCTGTTTTTTTTTTTTTTTTTTTTGCCTATTTTGTAGTCCACAAATGAAGAAACATAAATAAATAATCCCCAGGATAAATAGATCTCTAATTTCTGATAAATCAAACAAAACTATCATAAAGTTTGATAAAGCAATCAATAACGATGAGTGAACATAAAAATATGGAAATATTTATACGTTCTTTCAATACCATCACGCATGTATGAATAAATATATATTAAAATGATCTGAAAATAGATTTGAAAAGGAGAAAGCAGCTAAAATTGTTAAGAATTTTCAAATGTTTATCATAAAATGCATTCATTCATTTTCTATAGGAAGAAATGATAGATTACTCAAATTTTATTTCAGAGAAAAAAACATGGCAAAATGGCAAAAATAAAAAAATGAAAATTCTATTATGTTAAGGAAGGAATGAAAAGATCGAACAAATTCTATGATATTATTCAAATATCTTGATCATTAAAACTATTCGATTATCGATTACCGAAGATAAATTAAATAAGCACAACTAGATCCAAAACTTCCTTTCCTTCTCAGCAGTCAAAAAAAAATAAAAGAATAAACTTATTGACAGTAAACAAAAGTTCAGATGATGACTTCATACTGATTCTATGTTTTCGGTAAAAAATTAAAATGAATTAATATTATTAACAAAGGAAGTAGCTACAACTAATAATCAGGAACGTAATAACACTCAACCTAAAAAAACTAGTGCTTCCAAAAAAAAAAAAAAAAGTTTTTACACTGAGTAACTTTTGAGAAAGTTGTTTAATTAACAAAGAATATGATAAGTGGATAAGTTTTGTCCTCTAAAAAGAATTGTTATCTAGTAATAAACCATTTAAAAAATAAAACAAAATTCTAGATATATAACACCGCAAAGAGAAATACCCTGGAAAGTTACATGATAATTTTCTCAAAATGAACGCTTCATTCCAAATTTTTCACATAGTATGTATTTATAAAAACATATCAAAAAAAGTAAGCATCAAGTTTAAGTATATAAAATTGACTTCTTTGTACAAAATGACGCAATACTTTATCTCTGCAGGTAATAAAGTAAAAAAAAAAAATTAACTAGGATACAAATTGCACCATGGGGTCCTGAAATACATGATTAAAATCTGGAAATGCACAAAACAATCTCAAATTAGTGACAAAGAAGTGAAAACTCTCGTATCCTCTTCAGGTCATTTAGTTGAAAAGCAATTATAAATACATTATAAATACAACACGACTGAAAAAAAAAAATTGCTGTTCTAAAAGTTAGTATAATTCGCTGAAATATTTACTATCTACTATGTCAAACAGTCAGAAAAAAAAAATTACAGATAAACATATGTGAACTGAAGGAAATAAGAATGAACTCAAAGTATTATTTTACAACTTGAACATAGAAATAACATAATCATGATGACTTGAAAAATGCAATCAACAAAATATTTGACGTGATTACTTTTGATGATTTCAAATTATATGCAAACTTTGAAGAGTAATCGTTGTGTGAAATTTTTATTACTAAGATTATAAGAAACTGGGTAATAACAAGTTAATTAACCAAGTACATGAGTAATTAAGAGATTGCACTAAAAATGAAATATACAGAAGAGTTCGATCGCCTTCCTATAAAATCTGAAGAAATATAATTAATTCTTAATTAAAGAACCATTAATAATATAACCTTGCATGTATGCAAGAACGAAGCAACTTTCTTAGATTTCCCATTTCAACTAATAACCTCAATTATCACTAATAGAGCAAAGAATTTACATGTTAATAAAATTATTCACAGAATCGCCAGCTACAAATACTGGATCTCCCATTTTTGTAGTAAAAAAGTTCGAGTGGTTTCTTGATGAGTTGCTTTCATGGCAGAAATAGCTCAAAGCTGACCAAATATATTCGTGATCAATTCGGGATAGAAATGTTGCGCGAAGCTAAAATGATATAAATTTAGACAAAAAAAAAAAGCTAATGTTTAGCTTACCTTTAACAATATTTAAATCTCGCATAGAAACATATCATCAAAGTTGCTGTCCAGAATTCACGAATAGTATAACATTAGTAGCTTCAACATCATAACACGATTAGATGTTAATAAAATTAATCTTAACAAATTATATTAGACCGATAGATGATCTGCTATACAACATAAAATTTTATATGACTCCGTACAAAGAAACATTATTTTCTAAGCATTCCGCTTTTTAATTTTTCATTTCATTTTCAAACATGCTTTAGAAAATCTCGATGTATCTAACTCATTAAAATTGTTTTCTGTGCTTGTTTGATAAGCTGTAGATATGCGCAGTCTATCAATGAAAAAACGTGTAGATAATGACAGTTAATAAAAGTGTGCATTAAAGTTAATTTAGTGGCATACTGATTTATTTCTATTATCAATAAATTTTTAGCAGACATAAAATAGCCATTTTCAGTCATATAAAATCAATATTCTCAATAAATCAAAAAAAATAATCTCCAAAAAACAAATAAATTAATTTATTATAACTCAAAAGAGAATTTAAGCAGAAAACCTAATATTGACCTTATTTGCTGAATACTTAAAGCCAAATTGTTTCTGTAAAAAAAAAAAAGACTTAGCGGTAAATTCAAATGTTTTAATCACAAAACAATTTTTAAAAAAACAAACGAACAAAAAGCACAACCTGCAGTTCAGCTGTACTGATCACATTTGGATGAATATTTCGAGCTAATATTGTTTCCGCGGCAAACAGAAGAGTAAAATTATTCACCGATGCTGTCATCTTTTCTTTAAGCTGAATTTAAAAAAAAAGATTCGTTTAAATGAAGTATTTTCAAAATTGTGCGCGTATAA